GGCTTTTGTCCAGCAAGGTTCCCATCCCCACAAACCTCCATTTTCCCTCAAGTCCCCTCATTTAGACTCTAAGCCCAGGATCAAGCAGGACGACCTCTACCCCAGAGGGGAACAACTCTTTCGGCCTCTGCAGACTCAAGTTCGATGGGAGATGTCCCTGGTCTATGACAGGAAAAGCTTAGGAACGTGGGCAGCGATGGGACCTGAGGGGAAACATGTACCACAAATAAGAGCATAAATAAAGGCAAGGGCGTAACAGGATCTCCGGTGAGAGAGAAGGGCTGAGAGGTTTTAGGAGTGGGAGCCACACAGTCCCATTTCTAGTCTTCATCATCCCTTTTGTTTTGTGTAGGCTGGAAGGTAACCTCCCTCAGGAGAGGGGGGGGAGCATCATTTTTCCCAGACCACCTTTGTTTCCTCCCACAAGCTCTTGGCCCATCTGCAGTGTGGGTTGGGAGCAGAACTGTCCCAGCTGGCTCCTTCAGTCTCACCCATCATATGCTTGGAATTACCTGGACAACCTGGTGAAAATACAGCTTATTTGGCTCTGTTCTGAGATTCTATTTAAGGTGGTCTGGCATAGTGACTGATTCTTTATTTTTAACAAGCCCTCCAGGTGATTCTGAAGTGCATCCAGTTTGGGAAAGAGTCTAATATAAGATGACTGTCACGTCTTGCTCTAGGTCCATGCTGTCTTCCCTTTTAGAAAGTTCAGGAACAGACAATATATCAGGGTTCTCTAGGGGAACCAAACGGATAGAAAGAATCCATATTTAAAAGGCTATTTATTAGATTGTCTTATACAGTCCTGTCTGGGTGGTCCAACAATGGCTGTCTTCAGACTGAAGAGGCTAAGAGTCTGGTGGCTGCTGTCCACACGGCTGGATGGATACCTCAGCATCCCAGTCTAGCACTGATGGCTCAGAGGAGTCTAAGAGAGTCCAGGTTGGAAGGCAGAAGAGTCTGGATTCTGATATCAGCAAAGACATCAGTGGCAGCAACAGCAGCAGCAACAGAGGAGATGAACTTACAAACAGGCTAGATGAACTTGCCGCAAGACTCACAGCAAGCAGGCAAAATGTCAAACTTTTCTGTCTTTCTAACCTTATTATAGCTGGATGGTCACTGGAAGGAGCCAATCATCTCTATGGTGTGTGTGTGTGTCTACCCTGAGCTACCCACCTCTGTGGTGTGTGTGTCTACCCACTCAGTTAATGCAGTTAGGAAAATCCTGGGGCCAGAGAAATGGCTGGAAGAGTAAAAACACTTGTCTCAAAAGCCTGGTGGCAGTGGCGGTGGTGGTGCACGCCTTTAATCCCAGCACTCGGGAGGCAGAGACAAGTGGATCTCTGTGAGTTCGAGGCCAGCCTGGTCTACAAAATGAGTTCCAGGACAGCCAGGGCTACACAGTGAAACCCTGTCTCAAAAAACAGACAGGAAAAGAAAGAAAGAAAGAAAGAAAGAAAGAAAGAAAGAAAGAAAGAAAGGAAGGAAGGAAGGAAGGAAGGAAGGAAGGAAGGAAGGAAGGAAGGAAGGAAGGAAGGAGGGGAGAGAGAGAGAGAGAAGAGAGAAAGAAAGAAAGAAAGAAAGAAAGAAAGAAAGAAAGAAAGAAAGAAGAAAGAAAAGCAAGCCTGGTGGCCTGAATTCAGTTCTAGAACCCGTGAGAAAGAGGTAGGTGCAGCTGCATACATTTATAGATCTATAATCACACACACATGCTGAGTTAATAAAAAAGAAAGAAAGAAAAATCTTCATAGGATACGCTCACAGGCCAACCTTAATCTAGATATCCCCTCACAAGTGTGACCTGGAGACTTCTCTCTTAATTCCAGATTCAGTCAAATTGAAAACTAAGATTAACCATCAGAGAGGCTAGAGAGAGCTCAGCATGAGGGTTCCCTGCTGCCCTAGAGGACCAGAACTCAGTTCCTGGCACCCACTCTAGGTGGCTACAACTGCCTATGACTCCAGCTCTGGAACATATGACACCCACTTCTGGCCACCTTGATACCTACATGCACACACACATGCATATACATAAAAAATAAATAAAATAAGCCGGGCGGTGGTGGCGCACGCCTTTAATCCCAGCACTCGGGAGGCAGAGCCAGACGGATCTCTGTGAGTTCGAGGCCAGCCTGGGCTACCAAGTGAGTTCCAGGAAAGGCGCAAAGCTACACAGAGAAACCCTGTCTCGAAAAAACCAAAATAAATAAATAAATAAATAAATCTAAAAACAAAATACAACCCTAGTGTGGTGGTATACACCTTTAATCCTAGAATTCAGGAGGCAGAGGCAGGTGGATCTCTATGAGTTTGAGGCCAGCCTGGGCTACAGAGTGAGTCCCAGACCAGGCTGAGCTACACAGTGAGATACTAGCTCAAAAAGAAGAGGAGGAGGGGGCAAGAAAGATAGTGGAGGGAGGAGGGAGGAAGGAGAGAGAGAGAGAGAGAGAGAGAGAGAGAGAGAACCACAGCTACTCACTATTTTGTCACCTCCAGAGAGGAGATAGGTGAAAATTAAAATTTTTCTGGTGCCAAGATCTAGGTAAAAGACCCAAGACATCTTACCTCCTAGTTCCCCCTGACCCCCCCCCCCCCCCCCCGCCACCGCCATCTTCCAGAAATGCCACCTTCTCACTAGCAAGGACACTCCATGTCCTGCATAAGGTCTCAGCCTACTGAAAAACCAGGTTCAAGGGCTGTTATTCTCCCAGCTCTCCTAGGCAGTCCTTCTTCTCTGTAAACTGTTCTACTCCAACAGTATCCCCGTCTCAAACCCTCTCATCTTCTCCTTTCCCAAAAGTAGCTCCCAAATATTACCCTATACAACAAAGGCAACATGCCTTGCGAAATTACTTCAGAAAAGTCACAAATGGATGACACAGTCCTTAGCAAGGGTTGTCAGCCAGGCGTGGCGGCACACTCCTTTAGATCAGAGGCCGGTAGATACCTGAGCTTGAGGCAGCAGATGTCGTCCACCTCTGAGAATCGTAAGTAAGAATTGATGTCCAAAGATCCCACAACAGTGATCTGAGTCTCCAGTAGTCACCAAAAATTACAAAAGATTCAAAGAAACGGAAAAGTATAGCTCACTCACAGGGAAAAAACAAAAAACACTGAAAAAGAAACCAACACTGAGAAAGCCCAGACATTGGGCACACTAGAAGAGAAGTTTACATTATTGTTACTTAACTGCCTTCAGATAGCTGAAAGCAACTGGACAGAAAAGTAAAGGAAATCTGGAAACCCGTACAAACTTGGGAATAGGAAGTTCAGAAAAAACCGTTGAGAACAGCCGGAAATAGCACTTCACACCCTTCATCCACCTTAATTTAGGAGGCAGAAGAGGAAGATCCGTGTTCAAGGCTGGTCTGGACTACAGAACGAGATCAAGGCCGACCTGAGCTCTGCAGTATAAGATGCCAACTTGAGGACCGGAGGCGTAAGGATGGAACTCAGCGGCCTGTCTTAGATGCCAACTTTTTTAAAAGATGAAAGAAGTGAGGCAAACTCAATCCAAATCTGTACAAAAAAATGAAATGATACATATAAAGGCAGAGATCAATGAAATAAAGAATAGAAAGAAAAATAAAAGGCAGGTGTGGTGGCCCTTTAATCCCAGCACTCAGAAGGCAGAGGTAGGCAGATCTCTGTGAGTTCAAAACCAGCCTGGTCTACAAATTTAGTTCCAGGGACAGCCAGGGATATATAAAATGCCCTGTCTCAAAGATAGATAGATAGATAGATAGATAGATAGATAGATAGATAGATAGATAGATAGATAGATAAAAAGATAAGAGCACTGGCTGCTCTTCCAGAGAACCAGCCTTAATTATCAAAACACAATGGTGGCACACAACCATCTGTAACTCCAGTTCCAGGGGATCTGACATCCTCTTCTGGCTTCCATGGGCACTGCACACACATGTGCACAGACACATATAGGCAAAAACACCCATACACATGAAATAAAATAATTTTAAAAAGTCTAAAAGACCAAGTCATAAAAGTCAGAAAAGAAAGTAGGGACATCACCATAATTTGACATAAATAAAAATCCCAGAAGGAAATTAAAAAGACAATTACATCTGTAACAGCATCAAATAGATACTTATAAATAAGCTTAATAAGTAGGTATAAGACTTTCACTTTGAAAATTATGAAATATTGTTAATTAAAGCAGGTCTGAATAAATAAAAAGATGTCCCTCATTCATGGATTGAAAGATTTAATATTACTAAGACCACAGTATCAACAAAGACAGTCCACAGATCCTGGCAATCTGTATCAGAATCCCAAGGGAGGAATGGGAAGGAGAAACCGCGTAATCATAATCACAAAAAGCGAAAGAAATAATCGAAACAAGAACAAAACAAAACATAAGGGAGGCGCCGGAGAGATGGCTCAGGACTTAAGAACAGGTACTGATCTTGCCGAGGACTTGGGTTCAATTCCCTGCACCCTCACCCACCACTTCCACTCACAGACACACATACATACACAATTTAAACGTATAAATAAAAACAGAACAGACAGAAAACAGAGGAAACTTTCTCTGGGTTAGATCTGGTAATGCTTTTTTAAATGTGATATTATGACACCAGCATCCCGGATCGTAGGGAAGAGGGGGGAGCTGGATTCCACAGAACTTTTCAATTTTGTGCACTACCAACAGGATACCGGTACAACGAGAGGACACATTCGCACATCGTGTATCTACATTAAGGCCTATTATCAGGGATAAATAAGGAACTCTTAATTACTAACTGGACGGTTAGTTGCTGGAAGGAGAAGAAATGTGTGGAGCCTGCAGGGCTGTGAGGAAGGACCAGGAAGAGACCAGGAGACAGGCAGTAAGGGGCCGCCCTATGCTAGAGCTCACACTGATGCCTGCCGCCAGATCCGACTCGCAGGAAAAGGAGGGGGAGTGAGGGAAACCCAAGTGTCTGTCAGACTGCATAAATAGGCAGCAAGCCAGTCGCAGCCCACACCCAGACCCCAACTTGCGGCTGTCCATCTCACAGCTCTGGTCTCATCCTCAACTCAACCACAACCATGGCTCAGACGCTGCCTCTGAGCCTCCTGAGCCTGGTCCTGGCTCTCTGCATCCCCTGGACCCAAGGTACTAAGGAGGGAGAGGCTTTGTGTGGGAGAAGGGAGCTAAAGAGACACCTTCTGAGCCTCCTCCGGTTCTGTGCCCCTACCTTGCAGGCAGTGATGGTGGAGGTCAGGATTGCTGCCTCAAGTACAGCCAGAGGAAGATTCCCTACAGTATTGTCCGAGGCTACAGAAAGCAAGAACCAAGCTTAGGCTGCCCCATCCCAGCAATCCTGTGAGTGCACCAAAGGGGTGGGTACAGGCCGATGGTTGAGTAGGGCGGTGTGCTGTGCCAGACTAAGAAAGCTTACTACCCTCCACCTCGCAGGTTTTCCCCCCGGAAGCGCCATCAGCCTGAGCTATGTGCAAACCCTGAACAAAACTGGGTTCAGAAGCTGATGCGACGTCTGGACCAGCCTCCCGCCCCGGGGCAGCAAAGTTCGGGCTGCAGGAAGAACAGAGGAACCCACAAGTCTGGAAAGAAAGGAAAGGGTTCCAAAGGCTGCAAGGGGTGAGGATGCTGAATGGATGGGAAGGGGGGCAAAGAGAAGCCTCCCCACCTGCCTCTCACACCCCTCTTCTGCCCTCCCAGGACTGAGCCAACACAGAACCCAAGAGGGCCATAGCCGGGTGACCATCCTGAACTCCAGGAGAGTCTCCATGGACTTCATCTTGGCTTCATGCCCCAACCAATGGGCAAAGGGGGGGGGGCAGAAAACAGAAAGGACTCAGGAGCCCTGGAGCAGCCACCTCGTGCTGACCCTGTCACACCCCCATCCTGCTTCAACCATCCCATCTGCATGGCCATCCCTTTCTTTCATGGCTGAGCTGCCTTCCCTGGGCCAGACACGGAGAGTCAGAAGAAAGAGAGTCTCCCAAGGAATGAGGAAGGAGACAGCCGGCCTGTCCCCTCAAGGAGGTCACTCGGGTCCCAAGACCTGACCTTGCTCTCCCTGGCACCCTACCCTTTTCCTGGCAAATATGATTTATGCATAACTGAATAAAAAGCTGTTCCAGCCTCAACCCAAATACCTGTTCCTGGGTGCTTGTGTTCGCAGGGAGTCAGTGAAGTCATATGTTCTGGGTCCCAGCAGAGAGCTGGGAACCGTGAACCCTGGATTCCTACCTACCCCAATAGTTTCTTTGTCTCCAAGGTGCCCAGACCCTTGATAGGGAAAGAGAGGCTAATAGCCAGAGTGGGCCAAGGTCTCTGAGGAAACTGTCAGTGGGAAGATCCAGAGCATGAGTGGGAACACACACACACACACACACACAAACTCACACTCACACATTCCATGGCTCTGCAGGCCTTTGAAGCCTCCCTCCCCTGATTCTGTTCAGCACACTTACTCCAGGAGTGAAAAGCCTGTTTCTTGGAATCCCACAACCCTGATCCCCTTCAAAGACCCGGAGGGCTCCCTTTCAACTGCTTAAGGCAGCTCCCATTTCAGCCTCTTCTTTTGTTTCATGGAGCTGGTGAGCTTTCTTCCCATCCTGATCTGGGTCCCTTGCATCCCTTAGCTTGCTTCCAACTAGGAAAGCCTCCTCCCTTCTTTTCCTCTCTCTCCTGTGGCTAGGACCTAGAGTCCTCAGGCTCCTCTAATCTCTTTTACTGTTGTTCTGTGTGTGTGTGTGTGTGTGTGTGTGTGTGTGTGTGTGTGTGTGTGTGTGCATGCACATGTGTTATGCATTTGCATTTTCGAGAGGACATGAAGAAGCCAGAGCAGAACATCAAGCATCTTCCTCTCTAGTGCTCAATCTGATTTTTTAAAGACATTCTCTCGTTTGAACCTGGAGTTCACATTTTGACAAGCTGCTAGGACCCATCTGTCTTCACCTTGTAATCCCAGGCTTTTAAATGTGTGCTTGGAGTTTTGAACTCAGGTCCTTTAGATTTCACAGCAAGCGCTCTTACCAGTGAGTCATTTCCTCAACTGTCTCCTCTAGTTTCTTGAAGTCAAGGAACAAGCCTCCTGGGACAGGTCTGGGGAAGCCCAGGATTCAAACATAAATCCATCTTCCCTTCCAGAAGGCTACAGCTAGGTTTCCCTCTACCTCAGAGCACAGACCCTCTAATCCCCAGGCAAGGGCAAAGAAAACCACTGATGAGATGTGAGGAAGCAGGGACAGCTCCTGGAGGAAGGAGGGGAAAGGCAGAGACCTAGGCAGTGAATGACAGCTGCAGCAACACCCTTTCCACAGAGCCGGAGCTGGCCACAACACTTACAAAACTGTCAAAGTGTCTGCATCCGGCCCTCGCTCCTCTTGGAGTTGGTGAAGACAAGGCATTCTACTAATCTTTGTGTAATCAGGGGTGATCTTAGCCTACAAACTCAGATGTGCACAGCATGGACATCTCATTGGAGAATGTCTATTTCATTAATATCATTCTACTCCAAGCCCCTACACAGAAATGCTAACAAAAAACTTGACATCAGATTCTCGCTCACAGGGAATCCCATCTCTCAAAGGCTATGTAGAGTTCCTAGAACACTGAGCCCCGGTGAGGCCTCTTGCCTGCACCCACCAACCCCCACAAACACACCATCTTGGGACATTGCCAAGGAAAACTGACTCTTGTGGTCCCCTCAGGTTATACCTCTTCAGATCTATGCCAAATGTGAGACATGGAAATTCTGACACTAGAGCGTCTGAACTTTGACCTGAATGCCTCACCACACCCCTGAAGCCATCTGCCTGTCACTTCCCTAGCTTCCAGGAATTGAAGCTCAGTGTCCACAGTGGCTGGACCTACAGGACAGTCTCCTCCACCGTCTAAAGAAGCCTGTCCAAGCCCTCCCAAGCTCTCCAGAGTTTAACCTTCCAGGTTTACATTAGAGTCAGATTTTTACAAAAGGCAAAAGGGACTTTAACATCTAGAAGCTTCTAATCTCAGGCTGCCCAAACTCATATCTGCTATAAAGTGAGAGGAAAGTCAGGCAGAAGCCAAGCCTAGGCAGGCCTGTTGGTACAGGACTGTAATCCCAGCTACTTAAGAGGCTGAAACAGGGTCATCACACTCTAACAGCCTACCTGCTATAAAACAATTTCAAGGTTAGCCTAGGAAACACTGTCTCAACTTTTTTTTAAAGAAATTCTTTTAAGTAAAAACTGTGGCTGGGAATATAGCTGAGTGGTAGAATGCTTGTTTAGAATGTGAGAGACCCTGTGTTCGATATCCAGTACCAAAGAAAGAAGGAAAGAGAAGAGAAATGCAAAGATAAGATTTCACAGTTTACTAAATAATTTGGCATACCTATGTGACTGGTGTTTGCCTCGAGCCCTGCTCTCAATAAACATGCAATCAATTGTTTTTTCATCAGAGAATGAGGGGCCACTTTCCTTGTCTATTCTGTTCTTTAAAGTGTTGTCCTGTTCTTCCTTATTCCCATATAATATTTTTTAAATCATGTAAACATTTTTTCCTACAAGAAAGTACCAGAATCTTGCTCTGAACAATACCATTCCCCACAACTTTTAACTCTTAAGATATTTCTTCTGGGAGTCTGCTCCACGTGTCCAAATCCTTGAAACTATTTCTTGATTCACGCCGAGTGTTGTCTTACTATAAAAAGTGGAGATTTAGCTCTCTTACCAATCCTCCTGTCCCTCCACCTTCTGCATGGAATTACCATGATCCCTGTATTTACATCATGATCTATTTATACTATTATGGTTATGCAAATATTCATACACTGAAGAACAAGGAGTGACGTGTACACACTTCTTCCTTTATCACTCAATTTTCCCTTTGTCTTTATTTCTTTTTATTGAAGACTGAACCCAGGACCTTGTGCATGCTAGGTAAGTGCTCTATTGCAACCCTGTACCAGCCCCAGCTCTAGCCTTTTGGTTTTCATTTATTCAAGATTTATTTTTTCAATTATGTATATGCGTTGGTGCACATGCATACAGAACCCAAGAAGTCCAAAAAAGGGCATCTGATCCCCTGAAGTTACAGGCCATTGTAAGCTTCTTCTAGCCCTCTGTGGCCTCTATGGGTCACGTGCACATGCAGGACATAACTCACACAGATGCACACAGAGACACACAGACACAGGGACACACAGACATAGGGACACACAGACACAGATGCATACATTAAAAAATAAATCTTCTTTTAAAAGTACCATTTAAAAAAAAAACTCCTGGTTGGAAAAGTAAACACTTCAGCAAAGACGAGCACAAACCATAAAAGGAAACTATAAATCTGAAGGTTTCTCACATCATCTTCCTGCACACACCAACAGTATTTAGTTCACTGTGCCAACGGGCAGCAGAAAACAATTCATAGATTCCACAGTAAACATAAACGGAAAAACAGCCATTAAATTTTCTCCAAAATTTACAGAGCTGTGCTGTAAACATGAGACCACTGTAATCTCTGGGATCTTGTGCTTTCTTTTAGCTCTGAAGTACCAAAGTGCCTTATTTGATGGCTTATTTATTTGGTGTGGGGGGAGTGGGGGTGCGCACGCGTGTGCACATGCACTTGGATATGCATGCCACAGCATGTCTGCAAAGGACGGAGGACACCTTGCAAGAATGTTCTCTCTTTCTGCCACACGGGTTGCACATGTCAAACCCAAGTCATCAAGCTTGACAGCAGGAACCTTTATATAATGATCCATCCGACTGGCCCGTTTGTTGTTATTTTTAGACAGGGTTTTCCTGTGCAGCCCAGGCCGGGCTTGAACTCACCATGAATCCTCAGTGGGCCTTGAGTTCAGTACCATCCACTGCCACAGTGTTCTGAGTGAGAGTTTCAGGTATGAGTCATCATACTTAAGGAAACATCTAACGCTTTTTGTACATTTTTTTTTAGTGTGTGTGTGTGTGTGTGTGTGTGTGCAGGTGCATGAGCCTTGGCACACACACTAAGACCAGAACAGGACGTCAAGTGTCCTTTTTTTTTTTTTTTTTAAATCAGTCTCCACCTATTCCTTTGAGGTAAGGTGTTTTCTTGGGGCTCGTGTTTTCTTGGCCAGGATAGAAGCCAGCCCCAGCAATTTCCCGTCTCCCTCTCTATTAGAGCTGGGGTTACAGGCATGCATGAGCTACCCAGCTTACCACATGGGCACTGAGATCTGAACTCCAGTCCTCAAGATTGCGTAGAAAGCACTCTCAACTGCCAAGTCATTGCTTTTTTACCCGAGTCGTCACTACCTTCTAACAATAAATTATGCTCAGAGCCATTCAGGAAGCTACCAATATCAGATATTTATATTATTTCATCACTCTCTCTTCTATGAAAGGAACGCGCACGCGCTCCCCCCCCCCCCCACACACACACACACACACTCACACACACACACACTTAGGGAGTTGCTACAGAATCCGACGCTTCTTGCGTTCCTTGGTCCGCTTCGACCTTGTGAAGACTTTAACCTCCGGTCTTCACAAGGTCGATTATATACCTGAAAGATATATCTGTGTGAAGGTGTCAGATACCTGAAAGATATATCTGTGTGAAGGTGTCAGATACCTGAAAGATATATCTGTGTGAGGGTGTCAGATGCCCTGGAACTGGAGTTACAGACAGCTGTGAGCTGCCATGTGGGTTCTGGGAATTGAACCCGGGTCCTCTGGTAGAGGAGCCAGCGCCCTTAACTGCTGAGCCACCTCTCCAGCCCCAGAAGCCAGGTTTCTTAACCACCCCCAGTCGTGATACCTAGCTAGCCACAATTCCATACTTCTATAGTATGTATGTTTTATTTGTTTATTTTGTGAGTGTGGCATGTGCCTTCAGAAGCCAGAAGAAGGGGCGGGATCTCACGAAGCTGGAGTTACAGGTGGTTGTAATCCCGCCCTTCACCATCATGGGGATCCGGGAAAGCCAGCTCCGGTCTTTTGCTGGAGCAGCAAGAGCTTTTGATCGCTAAGACGTCCCTCCAGGGTACAGAGATTGTTCGTTAAACATTTCACTGTCTTCAAGATTACTGTTTCTCCCTTGGTGGCAAACTAGAACACCCCAGAACAACTCTGTTGATACTGT